AGCCGAGCACTAAGATTCCAACTGTTCCACCCACAGTGCTACCGGTCCCAGAAAAAACCAAGTCCAAAAAGGTTGAGCCCAAGAAACCGAGTACTGAGGCCCCAGCTGTCTTACCCAGTGTTTTACAGCCAAAGGTTGTTGAAGAGATTGAGCTAAGACTTGAACCCAAGAAACCAGGCACTGTTTCAGCTGTTCCCTTACCTCTAAAAATTGTAGAACCTGCTGTTCTACAAACTGCTGTGCTGGCAAGTGCAGGAGAAGAAAAAGCGAAGAAGGCCAAGCCCGCGTTTTTCAGCGCTAAAACTCGTCCAGCAACGGTTTCAACTCCAAAGCTTGTGGAGGAACAACTGAAAAAACTTGAGTCCGAGTCGCCAAGTAAGGCACCAGCTATTGGTCTACCAACTGTTTTACCGCTTAGAATTGAAGACAAGATCAAGCCGGAAAAGCTTGAGCCCAAGATACCAAGCGCTGAGGCTCCAGCTGAAGTTTCACTCACAGTCTTACAGCCAAAGGCTATAGAAGAAATCAAGCCAATGAAACTAGAATCCGAGAAGCCGAGCACTGAAACGGTTGTTCCACCCGTAATCCAGCCAGTTGTAGGAAAGATCAAGCCGAAAAAGCTTCAACCCAAAAAATCGGGCACAGAAGCTCCAGTCGCTGAATCGCCAAGGGCAGAGCCCGGTGCAAAAGAAGAAAAGCCAAAAAAGCTCAAGCCCGAGCGATCACATACTGAGGCCGCAACTGTCGTTTTATCCTCTGTTTTACAGCCAAAGGTTGCAGAAGAGATCAAGCCGAAGAAACATGTGGCTGAAATACCGAGAACTGTAGCTGTCATTCCGCTTACGGCTTTTGCCCCAAAGGTTGTAGGAGAAACCAAGATGATAAAACCAGAGCCCAGAAAACCGAGTACCGATACTCCAGTTGACGCTCCAGTCACAGTCTTACCGCCAACGACTGAAGAAGTAAAGATGGGCAAACCTAGGCGCCCGAGCGCTGAAGCGGTCGCTATTGATTTACCAGTTGCACCATTGCCACAAGCTGCTATAAAAGAGAGAGAAGAGCGGATAAGTAAGAACAGGGTTGAGCTTGTGACTTCTAGAGCTCAACCTATTGATTCAGCCATTGTTATATCGTCAAAATTCATAGAGCAAAAAAGGCTAAAGAAGCATGAACCTAAACGGTTAAGAACACAACATGCTATTCCACCCTCTGCCATTTCGCCTAGAGTTATGGAAGGAGGGATACAAGAGCACCTGAAAACGCCCAAACCGGAGCGGCGAGGCACGGAAGTGCAACG